CCCTTATCAACTGCGGCGGAGCTAGACTTACAAAATTGAACAGGAGAAACAAAGTTTGTAGTTTAGATGCGAAGTTTATGTGAAACCGAGAAAACTCGATCAGAAGGTGCCGGTGAGAAGGACCGGATGAAGGCTCAAGAAATGCGAAGATGATGCATATTTGGGCTAGATTTAAGTGAGAAGGGAGGAATCGGTAGGGATGAGCAATTGAAAGGGTAATCCAGATTAGCTGATATCCAAAATAATCGATGAACCTCTCAGAGTTTAGCCGGATAGGGATGCTTCAAATTTGGAGAGTTTGAAAGAGAGTAGGCCACGTTCGTGAAGTTACAAAAATGCCCCTAAAATTGGGCGGGATACTCACTTAGTTGGATTAATATATATATATATAGATTTTACCAAATCCTAATATCATCTACATACTTATCATTTCAATTCCCGTTTATTACACTGTTAATGGACTTATGAATTTGAAACATTTCGTGATGAACTAAAGAAAAAAGTATGAGTTTCATATGATACATAATATTTTTACAAATTTGACATATAAGGGAGCTCGGTGGAGCTTCTCATTTGAAATTCATAAAACATTTGATGTGTGACATTCATGCGAGTTTCAAATAATAAGATTTTACATAAAGATTTAATATTTTTTCAAATTTCATACTCAGTATGAAACATTTCAAATATTTTTACATGATGATAAAGGGGACTCGGTGGAGCTTCTCATTTCATCGTAAACATGCATTGCCTTATCAGGCAACCCACCATCTAAGAATGCCCTCACGAGTCACGAGCATCAGAAGCATATCCCTATAAAAAGAACATATCTAGTCATTACCATTTCCTTCCGCACCACCTCATACTAGTGGTGGACTCGGGCCGGGTGGCCCGACCCGGAACCGCCCCGGGACCGGCTCTATTCCGACCCAGCCCGAACCGGTGGCCCGGCCAGTGACCTGACCGGGTAGGCCCGACCCGAGGGGTTTCCGGGCCGGGCTCAGGTCACCCAAAACATGAACCGGCCCGGCCGGTCCGGGCCCGATTCTGGGCTTAATTTTTTTTTTCCCCAACTTTTTTTTAAAATCCGCGGGTTGGGCTGGGTATTTTGGGTCATTTGGGGTGGTTTGGGGGGTTGGGGGTTGCGGGGTAATTAGAATAGGAAAAAACATTGTAAGAGGCCCGGCCCGGACCCGGTGGCTACCCGGGCCGGTCCCGGGCCCTACATTTCCTAACCGACGGCCCGGTCGGGCCTAGGCCCGGCCAGGGCCCGAACCGACCTGAGTCCAGCACTGCCGCAAACATATGCACATGGAAATGCATTCATTATAGATAGTATAATTTTAAAAATAGAAATACCACATGGACATAAGGATGCATTTTAGGTTCTTTGCATCTTTCAAGATGTGAGTCCGGCCTAGACTAAAATCAGGGCATCCGGTCACTGCCTAGCGCTTAGGCGACTAGTTGGGCGCCTAACCGTCTAGAGAGCGATTTTTAGAACAGTATGAATTGAAGAAGACATATATAGTACTCCTATTTTGAGAATAAAAAGAGTATAGTCATATTTGATGAGAGCAATATACCTAAGTCAATAACATAGTAGAAATTAACTTTACTTTTAAAAGTAGCATAAGAGTAGGAGACAAAGTTTAGTTATGTGAAATCACTAATAGAAAAATAAAATATGTACCTGTTTCAAAATGTGACATCAGTTGCTTAGTTAAAAACTCCTGTTAAAATTGCGCTATATAGCTAAAATAGCTGAATTTGCTAAAAGAGTTCCAAATACATTTTCTTGATAAAACATTTTTGACATCGGTACCTTATAGGACATATTCATTGCAAGCAATTTTTGAAAACTGTTTCCATTGAACCATTTTGACTTGGGGCTGATTTTTCTAACATTCTCCTTTTATTTACCATCCAAATTTTAATGATCAAATTTTAACTCTATCACAAAATTAAGATGTAATACTCCGTACATAACCAAATAAGAGTATCAATAATTAAATACATTCATCATTTTTTTGTGCAAAACAATACATTAATCATTTTAGTATTTGACAATTCACCACTTCGTAATAAAAACAAATTAAAATATGGCAATACCTCACCGTACAAGACTACAATCATATAAACACATTTACAACTTTTCAGAATTCACAATTGAATAAGATAGTGATTATAATGAACAATTAACTATTCAAATAAATCTTTATACCTGTATTAATTAATAAATTGTGAAAGAAAATAAGCTGCCTATCACTATATTCCTATATGCTTTTTTTTTCAAAAATATTACCAAAATAAAACTAGTTTAAAAAAATGTGACTAATAATTACTACAATGTAGGATCATAGTAACTATGGTTCAAAATTTATATATAAGTTGTCATGATTTCATTACTACTCTAGTCACTAATCACATTTTTGTAAACACTCTTCATTTTAGTCATATATATGTAATTATTTCTTACTATATTACTTATATTTATTTTTGTAATATTGCTTTCATAATAAAATACATTAACAATCTTTTTAATGTAAATTTGCCCCCACTCAAAGAAAATCCTGGATACGCCACTGGTTTCAAATTTCACTACCCATTTTGTACACAAAGCTAATCTGGTCTGAAACAGTTTATTGAAGTCTTGCAAATAGTTCTGGACTCGGGCCGGGTGGCCCGACCCGGAACCGGCCCGGGACCAGTACTGTGCTGAACCGGCCCGGTGGCCCGGCCTGTGACCGGTCCAAGTAGGCTCGGCCCGGGGGGTTCCCGGTGCGGGCTCGGGTCACCCAAAAGCCGAACCGGCCCGGCCGGTTCGGGCCCGGTTCTGGGCTTTTTAATTTTTTTTTTCAATCTTTTTAACTTTTCGGGTTGAGCTGGGTATTTTGGTCCATTTGGGGTGGTTTGGGGGGTTGGGTGGGGGGGTTAATTAGGAAAAGGAAAGAAAAAAATTGACCCGAGGCCCAGACCCGGACCCGGACCCAGTGGCTACCCGGGCCCACCTATTCAGAACTAGCGCCCCCCCGGGCCTAGGCCCGGGCCGGACCCGACCCGGCCCGAATCCAGCCCTACTTGCAAAATTACTACTTATTCTATCCAGGATAAAGCTTTATCAAATAAACACAAGTGAACAACGATTCCGACACGGACTAATAATATGATTAATATCCCACAAGCTAGTACATAGGAGTGTAACTTTGTAAGATAGATTGGTCTTCATTACGTATAATAAAAAAAACTAGGCTTCTATAGTTCGTGATATTGAGCTAACTGTTGTATCTCTTAACTTCAATATCCATTGATGTATTGGTATCTCAGAATCGGATTAATGCTTATTATATTAACATTATCACTGACATAAAAAACGAGCCCTCATTTTTGTTTATTCGATTGATTCATGTACACCACCACCATCTCCCTGTTTTCCCTTCCACACCACCTTGTGGTGTTGTTACTATTATTTACAGCTACAACCCTACCACCCTCCGCCATCCCCCCCCCCCCCCAAATCCCGTCCGCACCTCCATCTGTGACTGCATTGTCACCGACTAGGCGTGGACCCGGTTCGGGCCGCCCGGCCCGGGACCGGCCCGGCCCGTCACTGTGCGGGCCCGGAACCGGCCCGGTTCTCGGGTCCGGGTCCGGTTCGGGCAGAGACCCGGTCGGGTTAGCGGGACCGGGCTCGGGTCCTGGTTTTGGAGGCCCGGCCCGGCCGGTTCGGGCCCGGGCCCGGGCCTAACGGTCCACTTTTAAAAAAAAAAAAAATTTTTTTTTTTTGGATTGTTTTGGCTCAAACGGCTACCCCAAACGGCTATATAGCCGTTGGGTGTACCAGGGGGGGTCAGGGGGGTTTGGGTGGGGGGTGGGGTGGGGGTTGGGGTGGGGGGTGGGGGTTAAAAAAAAAAACCTATAAATACTCCTAATTTTAAACATTTTTTCACACCTCTTCTCCAACTCTTCTAAATCCTACTCTCTACTCATCTCCATTCTCCAATTCTCCATATTCATCTTCTCTAATTCTCTTATTCTCCTTTATATTTTATTTTACTATTTAATACTTATACAATTATTATATCTACTTATATATTAATTATCTACTTATATATATTATTATCTACATATACTATATTGCTTATATTTCTTATCTACTTAATTTCTACTTATATCTCTTAATACATACATACATACTATATCTACTTAATATATACTTTATATAATAAAGTATTAAATATACTTTATAAACTATTATTATATACTTAATACATAATAATATCTACTTCTCTACTTATATTTTATATATACTTATTTTCCAATCTCCAATTCTCCATTATACTCTAATATTTAATTCTTATACAATTATTATATCCACTTAATACATACATTCTACATCTACTTAATATATATTTATATATTAAAGTATAAAATATAAGTGTATTACTCATCGTATAGTATAGTATACTTATATATTATATATTATAAACATTATATTATATATTACTTACTATAACTAGTATTATACTAGTTAATTAGTTAATTAGCATTCTTGTTACATTTTTCATTATACTAGTTAATTAGTTCATTACCATTATTGTAACATTTTTCATTATACTAGTTAATTACTTAATTAGCATTCTTGTTACATTTTTCATTATACTAATTAAAATACTTCACATTTTATTTAACTAGTTGTTAGTTTGTTACATTTGTCACTATACTAGTTAACTACTTAATTAGCATTGTTGTTACATTTTTACTTGTACTAGTTATTTACTTCAAAAGTTGCTATAATTTTAATTGTAGAGACACACATTAATTCTACTTTGCAAAAAATTAGTTTGAAGTATTAATTAAAATAGTTTTAATTAGTTGCATTAGTTTTGTATCCATTATTATATTTGTTGTGAATTAATATTTGTTACATTTTTTAGATGGAAGGTGGTAGATATTCGGTTGATTTGGGTAACCTCCAACGCAATCGAAGAAACGAGATTGGGAGGAAGAAATCCCGCAAAGGTAAAGAACTTGCCGGGTCTTCATCTCAAAGCCGAGATGATTTTGAAACGGGTTACCAAAGGCGAGATGGAGATGCGATGTCCGAAGAACAACTCCAACAAGAATTGGCCCGACATAATAACCGCTTTCTACAACAACAACAAATGCCGACGACCATTGACGAAGAGGAGCTTGAGGATGAAGATGCGGAGGAATTGGAACCGGAGACGGCCGAGGAGGAGGGTGCCGGCAGCCACGACGCCGACGCGCCTGCCTCATCCCAAACTGCCACCGGTAATAAAAAAAGTAAGTCTGAATTAATGCAAAATAATTTTGATAAATGGAAGGACCCACAAACTGGCTATTGGCACGCAACTTGCAAGTGGTGCAACAACAATTATAGTTTGGGAACCTCCGGCGGATACGGATCCGCCGCAAGGCATCTTAAGTCAAAGCACCCCGTGGAGTACGCAAAATTAGGCGGCGGAACGGGGAAGCAAACTCAAATATCGAGGTTTGCGAATTCTCAACCTTTTGGTAATTTCGCCTACAATGATGCACAAAATTTGACTGGTATGGCTAACTTAATTTGTGAAGAAAATTTGCCTTATTTGTTTTCTGAAAGTCTTGCTTTAAGAGATTATGCACAAGGTAGTTTAAATCCTCAATTTAGAAATTATAGTCGCAAAACTGTTAAGAAAGAAATAATAAGGCTTTATAATGCGGAAAAGGAAAGGTTACAAAATTTTTTTGCAAACTTTGATGGGCGTGTTACTATTTGTTCTGACATATGGGAGGATGATTTTCATCATTTATATTATTTGGGTCTGACTGCACATTATATTGATGAGGATTGGAATATGCATAAACGTGTTCTTGCTTTTCGTGAATTTAATGATCGTCACACCGCTGAACATATTTATATTTTGATTGAGCGTATTTTAATTGAGTATAATTTGATTGATAAGGTGTTTGCTATTGGTTTCGATAATGCTACTAATAATACTGCTGCTATACCTAGATTGCGTGAGTTGTGTGGTGCCAATTCTTTGATGGGTAGATTTTTTCATCAACGGTGTGCATGTCATGTTATAAATTTATGTGTGCAAGAGGTGTGATGGTCAACTTAGATTAAAATGGCAAAGTTATTTGACTGAAAGAGGTGTGAGATATGTTGCTTTTCCTAAAGATTTGAGTATTCGTTGGAATAGTACTTATAAATTACTTAAAGTTGTTCTTAGATATAAAGAACATTTTCCTGCTTTTTTAAAAGAACATGATAACTATATTATAAACGCGGCTGAGATCGACACTTGCGAAAAAATTTGTAATGTTTTGATATATTTTTTTAATGCTACTGAAACTTTTAGTCATGTTTATAAACCTACCGCAAACCAATTTATTCCACAAGCTGTTAATCTCGCCGATGCTTTTAAAGAATTTCAAAATGCCGTTTTCGTTCATTATTTTTGTGATCATATGAAGGAAAAGTTTTTAAAATATTATGCGCATATTCCCCATATTTATGGTATTGCATTTATTCTCGATCCTCGTTATAGACTTGCTAATTTGGAAGATTGTTTCAACTTCTATTATCTTGCGTTTTTCGGTGAATTTCCAATGTATGAGGATAACCCCATAGATCCGAAAACGGAATACAACGAGGTTAGTACTTTATTTTATGCCTTATTTAATGAGTTTCGTGCACAATATAGCAACGCTCCCCCTCCCCCGTCACGAACATCTTCATCTAAAGGAAAATCGATTTTTAAATCTGCATTTGGCAATCTTATGAAAAAAACTAAAACAACTCACGTCACTGAACAAAGCGCATTGAATGAGATTACTTTGTATTTAACATATGAAGTTGATTTTGAAGAAAATGATGACTTTGACGTTCTAGACTGGTGGAAGTCAAAAGAAAGAACGTTCCCGATTTTAGCACGGATGGCTAAGCAAGTACTATCAATGCCGGTTTCAACAGTTGCGGTGGAACAAGAATTTAGTTCGGCCGGCAACGTCCTAACGGCATCTAGATCGAGATTGAGCGCGGAGTCTCTTGAGACGCTTATATGCTACCACGATTGGTTGAAGGCCGCACGTAGAACTCAAGAATTGAGCATCACCCCCTCCCAAGATTTTATGGATGACTCAACAACCGATGGTGGCTCTACCTATGCCGGAGATTCCGATTGATTAGTATTTTAGAATTTAGTACAAAATGTATTTTATAGCACTTGTCAAATTTATTTATACTTGTACTTCATATTTCAAAATTGTAAACTTGTACTTCATATTTCAAAATTGTAAATTTGTAGTTGTAGTTCAAATTAATTTGTAAACTTGTACTTCATATTTCAAATAAATATGTGTTCACTTTTTCATATGTAGCACTTCTCAAATTAATTAATTGGTTACAATCTAACAACTTAAAATTATTTTTCTAAAATATAAAGCCGGTTTTTAAATTAAAAATACATTTAGAATATGTAATTTGTTTAAATACTTATACACCTATTTTGTAACATTTGTTTTAGTTTTACTTAATTCATTAAATTAATTAATTTATTTTACAATATGTGTATAACTTAAAAAAAAAAAAAAAAAATTTCAAAGCTCCCAAACGGCTATATAGCCGTTGGGGCTATGGGTGGGGGGCAGGGGGGTCCCGGGGGTGGTGGTGTGGGGAGTGGGGTTCAAAAACACCTATAAATACATCTATTTTCTAACATTTTTCTACACCTTCTCTCCAATTCTTCTCAAACTCTTCTCCATCTTTATCTTCTCTTATTATCCTACATTCCTACTTAATTACTTATAGTGTTATACATATACCATTTTAAATATGGAAAGTACATCTTCTCTTATGCAAAACAATTTTGACAAGTGGAAGGACCCGAAGACCGGACTGTGGTGGGCAACTTGCAGGTGGTGCAAGAAAGAGTGTTGCTTGGGGGGTTCATACGGATACGGGATGCCAATAAAACATATGAAGTCTTGTGACAAAGGGAAAACAACAACCAACGGTGGCGGAAATCCCAATTGATATTCATTACAAAATGTATTTCGTATTGTTATTTTTTTCTCAATTCTCAAATGTAGTTCTTATTTCAAATAAATGCACTTGAACTTTGTTTTTAATAGCAATTTGTATAATATATAATTAATATAAAAAAAAAAATTTATTGACCCGGCCCGGCCCGGCGGGTGGCCCGACCCGTGACCCGGGCGGGTGACCCGGCCCGAACCGGAACCGGTCATTGACCGGGCCGGTCCCGGGCCTACCCTTATAGGACCCGAGGCCCGACCGGGCCTTGACCCGGCCCGGGCCCGACCCGGCCCGGGTCCAACACTATCACCGACGAAGTCATTTAGCAAAATGGAATAACAACTTCTGTCTTACTTTATGTTAATGAGTGGATAAAAAACTGAGCAATAAAAATGAGAAGCCAAAAACATGAGTGGCAAAACCACGCGTAAAAGAGAGATTGATTTTTAAAACACGGTACATAGTCAATCGGCTACAACGATGGCAATGCAGTTATGGGTGGAGTGAGATGAATGCCTGGCCTTGAGGCCCATCCTTTTCTATTCCTGTAGGCATCAACTGCTTTTAGGCGAAGTCTCTCTTGTGAAACTTCCAATGTCATCTTCCGTGCCTTCCATTACACACATTAAAACATTCAATTCACAGTAAGATGGCGTTGACAAAAACACATTAACATCGGATGAAATCATGCATCTCACATAGGGTTGTAGAGATAAACGTTAAGTACATCTATAAACTTCACTGAAAGCTGAAGCCAATTGTTAAACATCATTATTACTCGGCATTATTCATATTATTTTATATCAACATGCACTGTTAAATTATATCCCATAGTATTATTTAAAAACATAGATATGAGTTAATCAAATAAGGATGTGTCTGTTTACAGTTTTATATATTTATTTATTACTTTTTTTCTTGTACATGCAACATAGTTTGTATTTCTCTAGTTATTAAAAAAGTTATATCTACCTTTGGAAGAGCACCCAGCTTTGGTGGAGCATCAACAACTTCCCCAAATTTTATTTGCTCATGCTTAGGATAGTCAAAAGCTTCTTGTGTACTGGCTTTCTTACCCTTCTTTTTCTTGTCCTTCAAACGCCTGCATTATTTAAAACAATATCAATTCAATTTAACAAGTGAAACAAAAGCCACTTTAACAATCACAAGTTTAGAGCTTGAGCTCAAAACGTAGAAATAAGTAAATAAAAATGAAAAGTATAGCACATCTATTTCTTCTTCATTTAATTGCAGCGTCTTCAGTAAAAAGAAAATGCACGTCTGCCCTCGCCAAAAAAACTCAACAAAATTAATATTTATTCTCAAGAAACCTTCACTAGCTTTGCTTAGGAAGGGGACATAGAGAACAACAAAAGAAAACTCAGTCGAGAAAGTGTTAAAAATGTACTGCTTCCTGCGCTCCTTTCTTTTCGAACTAGTTCCGCCAAATTCTTCAGTTGATTCAAATCGAAGATCATTTGCTTTTTTCCTTTTCTTCTTACTTTTCTTTTCAGGAACGCTACTTTCTACTGGCTTCTCATCACTGGTTTTTCTTTTGACCCCAGACATTTTACTAGCGCTTTTCTCCTCCACATGAAGCATCTGTTGACAAGAAGCATATATAGCAGAGTCAGACAGAACAATTGGATGACTTCATGACTTGCTATTGAAAATCAAATCCTCAACAACTACACAAATTTTCACAGAAACCTGTGAGGAGGTGTCCAAGAGAGCTGTGATATATTGGGTTTACTTTAAGTTTATGCAAAGTGCAAACAATAAACTTCACAGGTTACCTAATGTTTCATTTTTCTTTATTGTCTTCTTTTAAGCATTCTTAGTGCATAAAACTGTATCAAAAGTTTTGGGCAGCTGATAGTTGTGCAATACATCTATTTACATACTAACTACAGCCTACCCAAACTGATAAACATACAGAAATACAATTGGTGAAAACACAATCCTAAAAACATTAAGCTTTTTGTACCTCTCTAACACCGTCATTTCCTTTTGCACTGCTTTTTGGTGGTTTCTTTGCAGCTTCTAAGAACAGGGGAAACGAATTCAAAAACAGAAGAACAATCAACAGATTAACAATAAACCACAAAGTGTATGAACGATTAGCTTTAAAGCAATCCAAGTTGATCTATCATATCTATTTATATACGCATTGTATTTGAGTTAGAATGCAAACTAACCGGTCAGGGCCATGAGTTTGAGGAGCTTTGAAGGGAGAGCATCGACGGAGGATGGGTCGGGTGGCGGAGGGAGCCTGGCACTTCCTCCATGTGATTCTCTGTAGTTCTTCTCCCTTCTCTTCTGTCCTTTGCCTCCCATCTCTGTGTAAAAATCTTGCTTATACCCTAAATCCCTAATCTTTTGCAAAAGTACGAATCCAATTCCTCAAATTGGCAGAGTTGTGTTTTTTAATAAAGGGCAAACAGCGGGTCAATTGACTGACCCGAGCATATCTGACCCAAACGGAACCGTGAAATTGACATAACTGCCCTAATGTAATATTCTGTTTTCGTTTATTGTCCTCTTTTCCCCTAAAAATGCATCCTTAGGGAATTTATATCATTCATTGGGAGTATAAATCCCGATTGTTATACGAAGCATATCGTTATATCGTTTAAGGTTGGAATGCTTGAAAGTTATCAATCAAAAACTTGAAATAATAGAGTTTTTAATTTCTTCAATAACGTATTTTTTTATCGAATAACGTATTTATTATTATATTGCTAAAATTATACATTCGTCTACATTTATCACATTGTTTATGAGTTTAATAATATTAAGTAATATTTAAAACAAAAAGATATAATGGATGATGATCTAAATCTTACGATGACAATTTTCAATCATCAGCCTTAAGTAGTTAAGTCTACAATTTTAGCCTCCCAAATCATTGATTGATAATTAGTTTATTTTAAGAAATAATTACATATTTATAACAAAAATAATAATTGTTTAAAAAAATGTGACTCATGACTACTTACTTATATTGAAAATAAAACCTTATTTTAAGTTATGCAACGAAGACACACTAAAGTGAAATCATAACAAAAACAAATGTAATTGTAGAAAAATAAATCAGTGAATCCTAATTGTTTGATATTTCGAATTTAACCTCTAAACCAAACTGAATAAAAATGATTTGTTTATTGATTATCCTAACTCATAATACCTCTATTAGTGCTACCTTATTGACCATCATAGAGGCTCCGAGCTCAATTGCAAATAAAATTTTAATACTCCGCGTAAGTTCACCTCAAGGAAAAAATAGTTATACTTTTTTTAATCAGTTAGCATACATTTCATATGGATAGAACATAGCTCATGCAGACATCTCACTTTAGTGCATCATGCCATCATATCAGTGAAAACAAACACTTAACAAAAATCAATCTCGGTACAAGTTCGAGACCTGAAATAAAGACCAAAATAAAGAAAAATCGACGTCAAGAAGTTTGCTTGCATACTTCGTGAAAAAGTATGCAAAATAGATATTGGGGTTCAAACTAGAGGTTTGTTTGCTTACTCAACATGAAGGGGATGGGCAATGTACTTTGCGATTCCTTCTGCGCTCTACTATGTTGCACGGAAACGCGAAAATCATGAGGAAACGAAAAACAGGAAACGGGAAACGTGAACTTTTGCTCAAAAAAAAGGTTTGTTTTGAGAGTTTCCGTAGCATTTTCGAAAACGGAAACGAGCTCTATGAGGTGAACGACTTCATGGGTTGGATGAGGTGAACGAGATCGGGATATTCTTTGATGAGATGATCGATCTGTTCTTGAGACTTGAGAGTTCCCATCTTTGGATCTCCCCAGTAATATGTGCTTCACTTCTCTCGATGATGCACCACGTACCCTCCTCCAGGAAAATAGTTAAACTACATACGTCTATATATAATTTCATTGGTTATACATGTCATTAATAATAGTTGGGGTTGTGTATCAAAGTTACCTTAAATTGATTCACGTCGTTGACTTGTGTAGTCGTCTAGACATTGGGGCTGTTTGGTTAGGAGTCTATCAGCCATTTTTTGGTTGTTTAGACCATTATTTGACTTTTTACCAGATTAATCAGCTAATTGGATGTTTGGTACGTTAATTGACATTTTCATTTGGCTTTTTATGCTCAACAGCTAAAATTTAAAAAGCCAATAATCTTAGCGTTTAGGTGTGGCGGTTTGAATAATTAGCCGACATCCCGGTTATATCCACGTTAGTTGCCTCAGTGCAATACTTCCGCAAAAGCAAAAAGCAACACCGTAGCAACTAGCAAGCCTTCACCTTCACTTTACTTCCATTCGTTTTTCCTCCTGGTCCTAGGAATACCTTTATACGGAGTCCTAGGAATACCTTTATACGGAGTCCTAGGAATACCTTTATACGGAGTACTTCTTAGAGCATCCCTAGTGGGGAAATGGATTCCTTAAAAATGGACTGTCACATCATATAATTAGACTTTGAGATAAATGTAGGCTCTCCAACAGGAACGTGGGTATGCCTTGTGTTGCTGAGCTGGAGCCGGGAAAAACCCTCATCGTCTATTCCTCTTTGGATTTTCAGCAAGCCTCTCCCACATTGTGACTCAGCAAAATATACCAATATTAATTTCCTGCATGCCAAAATTTAAGCCGGCAAGTGAATTCGTTTCCGTCAAAATCCTCTTCCTTCTTTCATCTTCAGGAGGAACGATGACTATCGGTGCATAAAAACAAATTTGTTCTGATTGGATCGGTAATAATCTGGTTCTGACCCTTTATTGATCAAATTGGACAATTCTGTTACGTTCATAAGCGGAGTTCCTCGTGAAACTCTGAGAATATTCCAAATATTTTTCTTCCTTTGTTCTTTTGATTGAATGATGAGTGATAGACAAATTAAGACTGCAATAGCTTCATCATTTTCTGCATTTCATCAGTCATATTCATATACGGAGTATGTTGAAGGTCTTACTACAGAGTCACTTTTTTCTTTTACAGGAATCTCATTAGTTGAGTTACAATCATTTTATTTTCTTTAAATTAAAGTGTTGAGAACCACATAGAAACAAAGATTCTTTAATCAACATATGGAAGCAAAATAAATCATCTACGTGACTTGGACTTTCATGCTCTGTACGTAACTTCTGAAGCCAGAGGTAACCTCCAAGAGATGAGATTGTTTTCAAGTTATGCCTTTGTTTTTATTGCGTTAGAATTCTCCTTTATGCGTTGGAGCGGATAATTTGTTTTAAATGTCCGTGCGTCCACCTCAGCCCCACGGACCGTCTATATAGTTGACATGTCCATTTTTTATGGGGTGCAATCCACATTCCCATTAAAGATGCTCTTAACATTAAAATCATGAAACTCCACGTAGGCCTGAATTGTATGATCATAGACTAGCAGTTCTGATAAAATCTTATAGGTTTATTTAGGTTTATAAATATTCAATAAATATAGATTTTTTTATATAGCTTATGAAGATCGGTTCCTAACATTAACAAAATTAAATAAATTAATGTCCTCAAAAGTCATTTAACAAATTATCAGCCGATTGTAAACAGTCATTTAACCAAACAACATTTTACAAACAGCTAATACTATCCGTTAATCAAAACAGCCAACAGAATCCGCTATTATAATACTCTTCGCACATGTGGCTCTATTATGGCCGGTTTGGTGGCATTTTCCACATCTAACCGTTCCTCGTGGACCTTCATCCATCTCATTCTTAATACGTGTCGACTTTGGTCTGCCCTTAGCCCGTAGCATGGATGGATCATGCACAATTTCGGGTCCATTGTAAGTAGGCCAATAAAATTTATGACTTGTTCTTATCCCGTATCAGACTCTATCACCCGATAAAATTGGTTCCGTTTGATAGAATACAAGCTCACCATATTGATGACTTGTTCTTTGTTGTCAAACTGTTGACCGACCTCAAACTCACCATCGGGGGTAAACCTTTTCTCACCTGATCCACTCATCCACGCATCAGTAAACCCTTCAGGGAGATCATAAATTCTAGTAAAATGGCTAGACGGGGCTGTTTTCGTGACAGTATCACCATCATCTTCATCAGATTCTGTCATGTCATCACCATTGATGTTCTCGTCAGCATCATCATCAGTTCCCTGCCCATCCACAAATGATGCACCGTTGTGCAAATACCTACCATCTTCCTGTATAACCATGTTTAGTACAGGAGCCTTTGAGGAGTTCCCTGCATTCACCCCTGCACTGACATCATACGTAGATACATTTGAGTACCATAGGCGTCACAGGATTCCTCAATGTATAGCTCAAGCGTCGACATATCTTCCATCTGAGTTATGCCCCACATATTTGTTATAGCTAGCTCATCAATGAGGGGCATAAGCATGTACTTTCCCCCGTTTATGGGAAATTTCATTTTCAACCGCAAAGAACGGCTAGGATGAATCATTGTGGCTGCATGTATTTTTTGAAGGATCTCCAGCATGCAAGCGCCACGAGAAACCATGACAAAGCTGGTTCTACCACCTTCAAGGCATATTTGGCCAGCATCCTCATAATAGTTTCCTCCCCAATGACATATGATTGGGAAGCTTGAGAAATCCATATTCTAATAACAATTCATTGTCCAATATTCATGAGTAGGCATCAATATACACACTTTAAACACAATCAAATTTTCAATAGAAAAATCTACCAAAATTGTAATATATCCAAAAGTCAAAATTCAAAAACAATTCACATTTGAATATGAAACTACCAAAATTTTGATATCTACATTCACGTCTAACTTTCAATACCCAAATTTAGCTACATTCAAGTCTACCCAAATGCCCAAATGTCAAAATACACATTAAATTTACAATCAATTTAAAATCAAATTTCAACATTTCATACATATCCACATTTCACAACAACTTAATTCACAATCAATTCATAATCCAAAAATTCGAAATTTTTAACATTCAAAACCCTAAGTTCAAAATGAGATGAAATGGAGTTTTATTTACCTAGAAGAAAGAAGAAGGAGTGTTGCAGAAGAAGGTGAAGGTTTGCCGGAGTGGGGAGGCCGGAAATGGAGGTTCGCCGGAGTTGGATACGAGCTCGGTCGTCTTCTTCCTTCGTCTGTCGTCGGTGCGGCTTGGGGGATTTGGGGAGTGATGTTTACGCAGGGTTCTGTTTTGGGGCGTGCCCCGATTTTTACTTAAGGGAAAGTCGCCCAACGGTTGGGCGACTTATAAGTCGCCAAACCGTTTGGCGACTTATAAGTCGCCCAACCGTTGGGCGACTTTCCCCGACCCTGGTTAAACCAGCAGTATTTTGGTAAATACTTTTAACCCAACCCTATTTTCGTAATTAATTAATTAACATTAATTCGAAAAAAAAACTCAAAATTGTTATGATGTATACACAGTTTTAACTATTATAGCAAAATGAT